GGACAGCGGCGGTCGGCCCGCTGCTCTGGCGGGGCCTCTCGGGCGGGGACTCGGCAGCGCCGGTGCCCCCGGGACAGCTCCCGCCGTGCTGGGGTACCAGTGGCACCGGCTGTACGGACGCTTCCCCCTCGCCCAAGCCGGGAGAGGCCGCCGCACCCTCCCGTACCTCCCGGGAGAGGGTGCGCACGTTCCTGCTCCCTTCAACTCCCCCGGGAATGGCAGAACACAGGAAGCCGCCACTCCCACGGCCGCCCCCGCCCTCCCGGCAAGAGGGGACCTGGCCCCGGGGTCTCCATCTTCCTCATCTTTGGAAAAACAGAGACGAGACACTGTGTTGATTTATTTATTAATTCATAGTCTGTTAGCTGGTGTACAGGGAAATGATCTATACATCAGGGCCTAAGACAGGGAGATCCAAAAGGCTTGTTTCCATAACAATTAAAAAAAGAAAATAAAAGTAATTTTTAAAACTTCTAAAAAGCTTCTAGTGTGCAGACTGCAGCATTCTCTAGGCTCAATGTTGGGTGCAGCCTCCCCCTACCAGCCCTACAAGCAATCTGAGCGCAAAGCAATGTCACTGCAGGTGCCTGGCACGGTTGCAGACAGCACATTCCCTACGGCATACACAAGGCCAAAGCACTGGACCCACACACAACTCTAGGGTGATGCTACGGAGTCAGCTGTTGCAGTGGGTCTAGGGAGGTTATTGTACGCAGCAAGGGTGACGGATGAAGAGTCTGTGCCTATATGGCTCAACTTTGGGGTGGGGAGGGGACTGCTTTGCTCTCCAAGGCTAATCTGGGTCAGTCGCTTTGCTGGAGCGAGGCTTCTTGGCCGCAGGGCAGCTAGGGGCTCTCCCAGCAGATGTGTACCCACTGAAAGGGAGGGCTGCCCTGCCAAGGCCACGTGGCCTGAAGCTGGAGGTGCACTTGTTCTGCACCTGGCCACGGAGAACAAACTCGGACTCAGCAAAGCAGGTTCATGGCCACTTCCAGGAGAAAGAGCAGGGCGTCCCCACATCACTGTGCTACAAAGGCCAGGTCCCTGTATCAGTTTGGTTAAAGGACAGGGTCAGGGACCTGTGACCAAGTGCCACTACCTGCACCCTGCGCTCCTGGGGTCAGGTATTACAATAGATTCAACCTACTGCCCAGACTCTGAGCGCTCTGCCCTGTGCTGCTCTCCTGCTAGAGCAGCCGGCCTGAGGCTGCCCCAGCCCCCAGGGCAGCAGACCCCATGTCTCTGGGATTGGTCCCGAGAGGGTCAGTATGCAGGGCTATAACCCCCCTCGCAGGGAGGCCAGGGTCCCTGCAAAGCCCTTGCCTGGGGTGCGTATTGCACGGCTGTTGGCTATTGCTAGCTCCTGGCTCATCTCCTGAGCAGATATTGTGCTGAGTAGAGCTAGGCACAACCCCATGTGTGGCACAAGCACCCCCTGCTCTCTCACTGCACATCCTCCCTGGGCTCCAAGAACCTCAGCACAGGCCTACAGCTTCAATCCAGATGGATCCAACACAAACTGGGGCTAGACCATGGGACTGCACCTCTAGCCCCCCCTCTTCAGGCCAGGAAGGGGCCAGGCTCAGGCAGAGTGGCACAGGACAGGGATGGGCTGCTGCCCTCCCACTCCTATAGCCTTCCTGCTCCATTCACCAGAGCTGCTCACATATTCCAAAGGCTTTGCCCATCCTGCAGCCTGAAGAGGTATTTGAGAGCAGAGCTGTTAGTGCTTTGTACATACTGCTAGAGTGTCCCTAGGGGTTTGCATAGTATTTATTGGTTCATATACACAAGGCTGATTGCTGTACAGTTTACACTTTCAACATAAGCAAGGAGCTCAGTGCTCAGCCCAGAGCTCTGCCCTGGTGGGAGACTTTGCACGTGCTGGGGAGAGGAAGGGCAGCCCTGCACCAGTCCCTCTGCCCAGGGCAGCTGTGCTCCCTGCAGCCTCCCCTTGCACCCTCTGGCCACTGCTGCCATCCCCAAAGCCCAACACTCACAGGGAGGGACGAGAAGCAAGTCCAGCAGAGGCAGCACAGGCATTTGCAGGGGGGCAAGCACCTCTTCTTCTGTGGTGAGCAGCACCATGCTGTCCCAGCTTTCCTCTTAAAGCTGGAGCACAGACTTGGGGATGCATCTACACACACAATCACACAGATGTGCAATCTCCATCTCATTTCCTTCTACTCCAGCTCTTGCCTTCCAAAGGAGCTGAGAGCATACCCCTGGTGTGTGGTGCTGTCTCTGGGCTCCTGGCAGCAGCGGGGCAGGGATAGAGGCCCCTCGTCAGTTTTAAGTACTGTAGCTCATGCGTCTTGCAGTCAGTCAGTCATGCGGATAGGACGGTAAGTATGTCTCATACAGAAATCATGCCATTAGCTTATAGAAACATGTACAGCCAGCCCTGCTCCCCTCCACTCTCTGCTCTCCTCTCCTTTCTTCTCTTCTCTTCCCAGGTATGTGTCAGAACGTGTGTGAAGTTCAGTGGTTTGGTGTTGAGGTGTGATCCTAGAGAGACAGAGAGAGAGACAGAGGAGTTACCAGGCATTCTTGGTGGTACATCCAGGATAAATGTTGGGGGCAGCCAGGTACATGGCTGGCAAGTCCCTTCTGTACACTGTGCTTGTCCCACATGCACCCATGCTGCCAAGCAACCATAATACAAGTTTTGAGGGGTGTCAGAGAGACTGTGACAGAGCACCACTAAGTGGCAGGCCTGGAACTAGGAGCAATGACATTGATGGTACAGATGGTGCTGCCCCATCTGCAGAGAGCAGCAAGCAGTGGCTGAGCTGCACCAACTGCAACATGGCACTGGGAAGGAGCTGGGAGCGCTGCTCTAGGTTCTGGAATGGAGGAGGCCAGCCTTGAGCCCCCCCCCCCCCCCCCCCCACACTGAGGCAGC